CTTTTATTTATAATAATTCCTGTAGACCTGTGACCTTTCCGTCCCCTCGTTGCTTTGATTCCATTATGCCTATACTCTACTGTACTAGTCCTCTTGTATAAAATCACTTTCAAATTAACGCTTTGGTGCTTATTTGTAAATACAGAAACTCAATTTAATACTTTCTAACTTTGCTGGTTTATACTGTGCTTGGTTTGGACTGTACTGGCTTGAAAATACTAACTACCGATTTGTATCGAAGCGTTTTTTCGAAAGTGATTTTATCACTTTCAGATTTAAAAATTCCTGTAAACCTTTGACCTCCCCGTCGCCACTATACCCCGACCCAACTATGCTCTGTCCCCACTATGCCCCGATCCCACTGTACTGGTTTTTTAAAATATTTTTAAATAATACAAGTAAATGAAGGTAATATTTTATTAAATTTAATTAATTTGTTAATTATCTCGTGCCTAACGCTGATCTGCGTAAAGTTTCTTACAGCTGAAACACATTTTAACATTTTTATTTTATAACAATTTTTAATTGAAAAAAAAAAGAAAAACACTTTCTCTGGACTATATTATTAATTGCAGTCAAATTTTATACGTTGCTTTTAGGATAAAAAAATGTATTGTTGAAAAGCGCAATTTTATGTTTTTTTTTTCAATAATTGTTAACGTACCTGTTTCATAAACTTTTTAAATTAAAAATAATGTTAAAAACAGTACGGCTTGTTGAAAATTCTTTGAAGTTATGATAGGAGCGTAAGCGTGGTTAGGTTATGTTGGTTTAGACGTCTTTTATTTTTTTCTAAATAAAAAGCTACACAAAAAAAAAAAATTATAATAATAATAACAATTATCTTATTTCTACTGGAGCATCAGAAAATTATATGACCATAGTAATACGTTATATGTTGAAATACATCCGACTATACATCTACTAATTTTCTCAATTGTAATAATACACTACAATCAGACGTAGTACAAGATGACAACTTGACTGCAATACAATAACTGCAATGATTTTTTTTTTTTTTTAGATTTTAAAAGTATTCAATTTACGTGTTTATAGACACCGTCATACGATGAAATTCAATGGCTTGGGTCTTTTATGTATGTTGCTAGTTAGCTCTTTGAATGTCGTTTCGGGACATGAATGTCTTAGTTTAGAACCTGTGAAAGATTTCGATATGAAAAAAGTAAGTTGAAGTAACGCGTTTGATACTTGATAGGATATAAAATAATAAAATAAAACAATTAACTACCGTGTGGTAATTAACCATAATAATTATCATTGGTTAAGCATCTACTAGCCTTACTGTATTTATAATTAATGTAGCTACCTTTTTTTTAACTTAAGCCTATAATTTATTGTTACATAAAAATATATATAGGAAACTAATGTGGGTCATTTATAATATATAATTGTTCATTTCACTTCTTACTCATCCCCACCGTTAGAAGTTTCTGTTTTATCGGAATTTTTACCAACCGACTTAGCGACCCCAAAACTATAAATACAATTTGACAAATGTATGTAAATCGGCTAGTTCCGCCAGAACTTTGAAACGCCTCAAATATTAAATCATAAAGTTCAGTAAAATTGAACTTTATGATAAATAAAAATAAATAAACTTGGTACAAGTATGACTGACTTGTGTTTAGGAAAATAATAATTGGGAGATGTAGGAGGGGTGGTATATCAGCTACTTTTCGAGGTCAGGACGTAAAAGAGTCGACATACAAAATGTTCGGAAACTAAATCTTTAGTTACTGTATAAATATTTGTTTATAGACCTAGCTGACATTTCTTAAAAACAACAACAAAATAACTTTCTTAGAAATATTGTTTTAACTAACTCCTGCGTGTACTCGTTCTAACCCGTCGCTTTTTCTATAGTTTTTAGGGCCATGGTACGTCATAAAAACGACGTTATACGTTACTCGATGTTTGGTGTATGATATTTACACACAGAAAATCGATGATATGGCAGATCATGAAGCTAAATCCGATTACAAATTCATGTTTGGAGCATTGGAAGCCAATACAAATTCACCATCACAATTGACTTTTACCGATCTTAGAATTGATTACTCAAGTTCGTGCGATGATTTGACAGTTTTCTTTTAATATTTTTGTGAATTCTTTCATTGTGCTACACCCGATAAATCAACAATTCCTTTTTGTTTAAAGCTGAATGATTTTTAGCGTTTCATTAAATTTACCTACCGACAGTATAAACCACTTCACAGTGTATAGATACCCAATTGGAAAATTGTATAATATACTTGTTTGCAGATCCTGCAAACAAGAAACCGTCTATGGTTGTGTTCAACACTAACTATGAATCCTATGCGGGTGTATACGTATGCGCAAAAAGACGAAATGGCCATGGCTTCACACATTATATAGCCTTTATGTCCAGATCAGTGACGTTAGACAAAGAAATCATAAATGAAGTAAATACAAAATAACAATCGCTTCGGATTTTTGATATTTATAGTTTTGGAATAAAAAGAAAAATTAATTAATTGAATCTGATTTATGCAGTTAAATAAATTCATTGGTTTTTTTTTTATTTACAGTTGTTTTCAAGTGTATTTAATGGTCATATAACACCAGAAGATCTTAAATTCATAAACGTTGACCACGCGGACTGCAACTATGAGAATAGTAATGATCAGAAAGTCATTAACGAAGATGGGGTAGTTTACATATCTATCAAATGGCTACCATTTGTTGTACCTGCACCTTAAGGATATGTTAAAATGTATTAAATACGAATGAATTCTAAATATTTTTAGTACGACAACGTACAGCCAACCCATTACAATTATATTGTTGAATGCAATCTATAAAAACATTTTATAATAAACCCTTTTACCATTAATAAATACTTTTTAATTCAAAATCAGGGATAAAATCCTCATTAAAAAAAAAATGTTAAATTCTTAGGCCTTTTTGTTTAATTGGAAATCTTTAGCTTAGTGTAAATGTATTTAATGTGCTTTTAAATAAAATTAAACTCTACCAGATTATATTCAAGTAAAAAAGTTATAAAAAATTGGAAATTTATTTATTTATCTACAAAAAAATTCATTACCTCCATATTGCTTATGTTCCTTTACACTGTTAATATTATTGTCAGCTTCGTAGTGTGTCGTTATTGATAAATCTGCAGGTATGATTACTGAAATTTAACAACAAGCAAAATGTTTATAATATACAGTCATTTGTAATATTTGAATATATATTATTTAGTAATAAGTGAATAGTAATTGTAACGTTTCTGTTTGGCTAGGCCAGGCCGAAACGACAGTCGATAGGGTTAAATTAGTGGACCCGAAGACGGGACGGATGTCAATGAGCAGTTGAATAATCTTTGAAAATTATTTATTAAGTTATTACTGTTGAGATAGGAGAGGAAGTGCGGTTAGCATAAGTTGGTTTAAACGTCCTTTTATTATTTTAATTTTTTTTAAGAGCCATGCGTTCAAAAAATGAATAACAATTTTTTTATTCATACTGAACAATCAGAAAATAAAGTGACCACATTATCATATTATATAGTAAAACACATCCGACATTACATCTACTAATTTTCTCCATCACACCCAAAACTATATCAAAACATATTATACAGTCGTGGTCTTCGAACAGCAGTAGAAATTCGAAATTGGTTATTAGAGTAAACTACAATATTAAAAATAATACCCCGAAGCTTATACAAATTAACTGGTTAATCAATTAACATAGTCAAAATGTTCTTAAAAATTCTTTATACTTCGATATTGCCTATACAAAACTCCTTAGAAACCATTATGATTTTTGCAAATCATTGCATTCTGGCAATTTAAATGTTAAATTGCCAGAAATACTACGCTTTGTCAAAAATATAATTTGAAATAGGTAACACCTTTTGGAAAAAGTTTTTTTTTTAATGTATTATTTCCAAAAATGTGTTCTTTTAACCAAATAATATATTATTTTTAATAATATTATGACTTTTTCTTTTAAAGAAAATGTATAATATTTTCATAAAAAAAAAGCAGCTTAGAATACATGTTTAATTAATTGAAAATCGTAAAACGATCAATTCAACTTAATTATTTTTATAATACTATTACTTACCTCTTCATATGACAAAGGCTTATGTATAGTATATACTGACTTCATCATTTTGCTCGTTTAATTAAATGAAAATGCCTTTTAAACTGCTAAACCGATTTCTTCTTGTAGCATCTCCATAAATCAAAAATCGTACCCGCAAGGTACTCAATTGGACCAACCCTAATTTGTATGGAATATTTTTTGAACATAGTACTTGTACTACCGATAAATACTGACAAACCAACAAAATAACATAAACTCTTTCCCCCAGAAGGCGTAGACATTTTTTCTTCGTATCACTTTTTCGAGCAAAGTGTTTAGGATTGAGGTCTGAACATTTTACCGAATGTAGATCTATTATGGAACTACAACATATACAATTTTCTCGAAAATCCGTAGTCAAACTGTTTTTTTCTTATTAGGGAGTCCTCCAAAAAAAAAAGGGGGGGGGGGGGGAATTACACTTTGACCGTCGTCAATTTCCAGGTTGCTATGTGTCAGTGAATCAAAATAGATTGGTATTATGATAGGTATATGTTTACAAATTTTAGCTTAATTAACTTTTACTTATACCATCGATAATGTTTGAGAACAATTTCTTAAACGTTATACATAGTTAACAGTTAACGAGAACCTGAAATATAATAGTTGTACGTACGATGAATTCAAATTTATTTTCATGCTTGTTATTAAAACTATGTACGTTAATTTTTTTATCTTATTCGTTTTATTCGACCAAGTTCGGTTTGGAACTATGCCGTAACTGTGTGGTCAAACAGTGATCATTATTAGTCGGGTATTATTTCAAGTAGCTTAAACGATAAAAGGACACTTAGTGTAAAGTGGAAATTCATCAACAGCCGACTACAGCATAATATTAACAGTCATATTTTTTTAACAAAAAATTGTTTAAACAAATTGTTTATTATAAAAAGCAGGAAGGCAGGGCGTCGTAGACCTAACTAACATAAAGATGGAAAGCTATAAAAATAGTCGAGTATAAATTAATTTACAAAAGTCATATTTGTATACCCTACAGCAAAGTACAATTAATAAAAATTGAGGGACAGAGCTGTAATTCCTTACTTATTTACGATAACATTATACAAATAAAATAATTTCATTACGTAATACATAATACTATATCATAGTATCGGTGAAAAGTTAACAACAAATTTAAATCCGGAAGGAGCTAAGGCCCCTTAGGTTGTTGATATGGAGGATATTGTTGCGGCGGTTGTTGGTACAGAGGATATTGTTGGGGCGGCTGTTGGTATGTTGGAAATTGTTGGGGCGGCTGTACTTGTGGCTGTGGATATTGTTGGGGCGGCTGTATTTGCGGCGGAGGAAAAGGAGGAGGACAATGTTGTTGTAGGGGATATTGTTGCGGCGGCTGTTGATACGTAGGATATATTTGTTGCGGTTGAAGGTACGGAGGGTATTGCTGTGGCTGTTGGTAAGATTGAGCGTACTGTTGCGGAGGTTGACACGCAGGATATTTTTGTTGCTGTTGAAATTGCGGATACGGCTGTTGTTGTTGTTGTTGATGATGATATACTGGCGGCACTGGTTGTTGGTACTGAGCGTTCCCCTGTGGCCGATAAACTTGTGGGCTTTGTGGTTGTTGTTGTCGTACCAGAGTCTGAGGAATTTCTTGTTGTTGCTGTGGCTGTGGCGGCTGCTGCTGCTGCTGTACATGGCGTTCCGGTACAGTTTTTTTATTTCTTTTTCTATTTTTTTTCGCTAACTTCTCTTGTTCGTCATCGGAATACTCAACGTACTCTGGCGGCGGTTCATTGTTATCCTTCCAGGAGGCATCGCTACCTTTATGTTGCATCACTTTCGAAATGAATACGTAAGATGTATAATCGGTTTGAGGTGCACAATAAACCGTTTCCTTGACGTTGACGTTGAATTTTTGTACATGGTCGGAACCATTGAAACGTACAGTGTAGTATGGCTTGTTGACTGGCCCGACCACTTCAAATATTTTTCCTAAGGCGCGCTTCCCACGGTCGACAAACAAAACGGAGTCAATGTCGAGTGGCGGAACATTAATGAACGCTTCCACAACAACTGAAACACACACATATTATATTATAGCTATAATTTTTTTTTCTTTTAACAGCAAGGAAAATATTTTTAAAAAATCACCTAAAGAATCGACGATACTTTTAATGCTCCCAATAGGTTTGCACTGTTCTTCTTCGACAGAAATACATAAATCCTCAATGGGGGGCAGATCCGTTAAAGAAAGCTCTCCTTTAGTTTTTGGTATACCGCTATACGTGTCTTTAGACGACGCTATTGAAATTACACTGCCTTCGTTGTCTGAAGTTTCTTCACTACTGCTGCTATCTGAGCTATAAATATTAAAATATGTTTTTTTTTAACATAAAAAGTATTAAACAATGTTTGCTCATTTATGTACAGCAAACAACAGCTTTTTTGAAAAATTAAATTAGTATTTCATCAAACCATTATTTCAATTGACAATCAAACTAATATTATGGTACTTGGTTAATAAAAAAAAACGTGTTTGGAATTTTTACTAATTCGTTGTTTACTTTTACAAACGCAAAAACAATAATATTTAAAATAATAACGTTTTTATAAGTATAATTTGTTTACCTTAACAGTAAAAACAAAACACTTTTTTTTTTAAATGTTAAGTAAAATATACATTTTTACATAGTTATATTATAGTTTATTACGGTATAATCATTTTTAATCTACGTAAAATTTAAAAATACTAGTATATTTTTTATTTTTTAAGACCCTTAGGCCGGTTTAACAATTTTTCACTTAACAAGAGTTGTATTCTGGAGACAATTACCCACCTAGCGAGAGAAACATCCGGCGACCGAGATTCCAACCAAACATACCATTACATAGCACATTACCATAATATTATGATTAAATAATATAATTATTAATATATTAATTATATTCGAAAAAGGTTGTAAATATTGATTTTAAGGATGAATGAAGTATAAATAGTTTTGATTCAAATTTTAGAGCACTATTGCACATTTATGTAGTACGATGTCCGTAACACTATTTACCACAGACAAAAACCCTACATGAAAACATTTTGTTTGTATTTATATTTTATAGTTATCATACTATGATATACCTATATATAATAACAAAAATTTAATATTAGTAATCGCAATATACTATATTATTAAATGTAAATTTTAAAAAGAAAATTGACAAACATTTTCGAAAAAGTATCGTAATACGATTATTAGTTTATTCGAGAAAAATATATTTACAAGAACTATTGGATACAACAAAATAATAATACTGTAGAAACATAAAAAAATACATGCTCGTGTAATATTATTGTAGATAGGACTTGAAATAATAAGAAACATATTTCCACAAGTGACTTGTCATTTTAATTTTACAAAAAGAATGGCTACATTTTTATTGACATTTAAGTAGCTGTGCTATTCAACATTCATAAAAGTTGCAACACCTTATAACCATCCTGATGCTTTTTTATTTAAATGACCAACAGTGTACAAGCATGTGTAAAAACTTACATGATAGTTTCCCGTGGTTTCATTCGAACTTCAGTCAATATTATGTCAAGCGGATCCGGTTCGCCAACATCACCACCATCGCGGTCGTCCACTGGAGGACTTTGGTCGGTGTTTTTAATTGCTGAAAACGAATCAGTACAAATTAATAAACAACATAAAAAAGTATACAGGTTGTTCCAATTTAAATTGTCAAGACAAAATACATAGGTATTAGGAAAAAAAATGTTACCGATTATTGGCTCTGGTTGATCCATTTTGTTGAAAAGGTAGCTATAACTAATTGGCCTTTAAAAAGGTAGTTATTACTAATCTAATATTAAAACATTTAATACTTATTATAAAAAAAATATTTAAATTTTAATTGTATGACAACATGTCGCGCACATGGTCATTCGACTAGTCTAGATAACAAATTTGATAACAGTATTATCACAGATTAGATAATCTGTGGTATTGTGCCGTATATTAAGGTATACCGTGGTACCCACTGTAAAATTATCATGACCAAGATAAGACTTGTCAATAACAATATGATAAAAAAGATAACACATTTCGGCGTTTGCTATCCGCCGTTTGCTTTTGGTAAACTTGAAACTGTGTTGACAATAATTTTAGCCCTTGTCATTGGCAAGTTGCCTGTTGCCAGTATGTTGCTTGGGACATTGGTTTAAGAACTAAGAAGTTAATATTGTTTTTAAAGATCATGTTTATAAAATTTCCAGTTCCAGTTCTCGTCTACGCGATTTCTCCGTCCTTAATGTTTACCATAATGTCAGAAAATGGGAACATACTATTATTGTAATTGTCTTGATAAATAAAATAACTCTTGTTTACTTCAATTCATAAACAATTCATAATAATAATTTAATTTACAATGTCTCCTCCATATAATCAGTGATTATATGAAGTAGGGGGCAGCTAATATCCAGCCATTATAGGTAAGGTAGACAACAGACACACAGGACAATGAGCTGGGAGCATCGATACCGAGACAGTGGTCATACTGCCCTCTTCAGCCCGTGACCTAATTGATCTCAAGCTATTACTTAGTTAATTTGTGTTACTGACTTTATCTAAGTTTTGACTTGGACTATTTTCGAAACTGAGTTATCATGTTAGGTATGTTGAACTAACAGTTTTTCAAAAGCTATCTATGGTAACATTTTTTTAATCAAAAATCAACCATGTCAATAATTGTATAAAGTCTCAATTTTTAATGTTATACAGATGTACTTTTACACTAATCCCGCTCAGTTCCTCAGTAAAGTGTCTTGACCGAGATACATTTATCATGCCGAAAAAAGTGGTGCGACACCTTCTCATAAGTAAAATCAAAATACATTTATTTAAAATATTAAGTGGAATATAAATTATTACAAGTTTCGTAGCTTCGATGCGATAGCTGGAAGATATTGGTTTTGTCGAGATGTTTTTTTTTTTTTATTTTTTATCTGAAGTCACGATAACTTTTTTCTATGGATCAATTTACTCGAAAAGAACACCGTAGATCCAAAATCATATGCGGTTGGAACTTTTACTACAAACTTTAAGCTGATTCGCATTAGAAATCTATGGATACTGGACCCAACTTTGATAATTTCTTACTGTCCTAGTTTGGACTGTGATTGGTTTAGACTGTGCAGGTTTGGACTAAAAAAGTGTTTTATGTTAGAAGCTGAGAAGTGGTTAAATTTAATAATATATAATAGAGACTATAAAAGCCATTTATACTTTTTCTCAGTCACGATACAAATTATGCTATTTAAAAACTTATGTTGTTGTTCAATGTTTTAAAATTAAACGTCTTATGATTGAAATGTATTCATGTTGTACAGTCATATAACTTAAAATTTGATATATTTTTTTTGCGTTTTCCCACTAGGAGGCTTTAATTGACGAAAGCCGAAAGTAATTAACTAGATAATTAGGAAAATAATAAAAATATAGAAAAACTTACTCCTTTGTTATCTCATATTCATTTTCTATCTTAACTATTTAAAGGATTGAGTTTAACTTTGTGCAAGACATAGGCATCTACTTAGCCAGGAATCGACAAAATCTAATGGCGTTATTTGGTGAGTGATAAATACTATTATGCCTGAAAAAATTGAAAGAACCAAATAAAATATATTATATATATCAAATTCAATTACATAAAACACAACCAGACCTAGGAACAATTATTTACACCTGCACATTGTGAACAAATTGTAAATGCTTAGAAAGTATATTAAGAGTCATAATACATAAAAAGAAATACTATAAACAATTTCAGTTGTACGTAGAATGCACTTTACTCGATCCATGATTTATTTATAGTTATGGTTTTTAAAACCACACTGTTGATGTACTTATGTCTTTAGGAAAATGTTTATTAAGTTTAAGACCTAGCTCAGTACGTGGATTTTTATTGTGTAAAAGGAAACATTTATTTCTACAAAAAGTCACATTTTAGTTTAGTCCAAAGTACCCTGTATTCAATAAAATTAGGTCGAACATCCAAAAACATGTTACTATGAAGTCATCCTCGATTAAATATGAAAATACAAGACAATCGGAGTCTGTGATTGTAATTTGGAATAGTTTATAATAATTTTTTTGACATTTTTATGTCTTAGCTTTGGCACGTAACCGAAAAAAAGTTTTTCAGCCGAGTCTGCAACCACGAAAGAACATTTTCATGTCTCGTTGGAGTACCATATAAATTTAGAGTAGTGGTGGAATTATATAATATAATGATATAGTGTATTAACAATCAGGAACAAGCTAGTATCTAAAGTGGCTAGTATATTAAAAATAAAAAAGTACATTAAAACATCAAGTTTCTGGCTAATATTGTAGTTTTTAATAACTGGCTTCAAACAATTCATAGAGAATTTAGGCCCTTAAACTATTTTGAATTTATCATTTAGTTCTAATTTGAACGTTGCACATACATCATATCACTTAGTCGAACAAAGGTTAAGATATATACCAAAAAGTTGCTAGTAATTCATTAGCTGCTTATTTCTCCTACAGTGACAGCTGATCACATTTATAATTTTAAGCGAAGTTTAATTGATAAATAAGTATTGTAACTGAGCAAAATATGAAGCCAATTAGTGAAATGAGGGCTGTGAAATTCACCGAGTCGAATTACATCAAGCCATTTTCTTTGATGTTTAAGCAAGTAAAAAAAAATACCTAGCAGCATTGTTTTTTTCAACCCTGATGTATGCGTATGTCTAGGGAGAAAAAGACATTAAATGGGACTTGATGGATTGCCACGATGGGTAAGAATAATATTATGGTTGTCTCTTAGTCGTTTGATCCTTAAACAAGTCTCAGTTAGCTGATAATTTTCATAAAATGTTTATTATCTGTATTTTAAACCAAATTTGTCGGGTAAATTTGGGTTAAGCTCAGAGTTCATTAATGATTTCACATTTAATTCTATAAAAATAATTGAGCTGATCGACCTTTTTTCCAGGTAATCGTAGAAGTCGATTTTTTAATAACTGTCTATTACTTAAAAAAGTCAATGAAGTGATTACTAAAAATTTAAGAAATTTGAAAAATTCAAAATTTTAGGTCTAATATATCCAAAACATTGACTGCCTCCAATCCCCTTAAAACTCAAATGAAATTATAACACTTCTGATCATAAATATATTTAGAACACAGTATGGTATACACTATATTATAATTTAAAAATTAAAGAAACTGTTCTTATAATTAAATAGTTATATGAATGTAAAAGTATTTTAATGTTGAATTATTATATATGTACATAAGGATTGTATAATCATACCATATTGATTTAAACCAGAATTTTCATATTTTATTTTACATTCAGGCCATCTAATTTTTCAAATTTGTCTATACCAATCTAACCCCTCCTCTTACTGGAAAATAAAAATCTACTGTAATGTACTAATTTTAAAGATCATATGTTTGTAATTACAACTCAAACAGAAAAATATATTTCCTTTTATTTTTAGATTCATTATCAAAGTTTACTAAATAAAATAAAACAAGGACAGTAATAAAATGTGTAATTATTATTGTTTTTTCTTTGCAGTGTTTTTATTATAATTTACAACAGAAACAGAAATACTTTAGTATGTGTGAAACAATTTCGACCGGGTAATACAACAATTGCTTTTTATATTGCTACTAATATTATAAAAAGACCATTATGTTTACGTTTTAGCTGTGTACTATAAATGTATCCCGGCTTTTGATAGACCTGCAGAAGGACCAATTGATACTGAGAAGTATCCACCTACAAATGGGTTAACAGTAGAATTTTGTGCTGGTATTGTAGACAAAAACAAATCCTTAGAAGAAATAGCTGTTGATGAAGTACGAGAAGAATGTGGCTACGAAATCAAAGTTTCAGATTTACAAAAAATCATTAGTTGCAGGCAAGTCCCCAACTTGAAATAAATAATTGCTTTAAATTATTTAATTCAATTTTTTCACGTTTTTTCACTAGATCCGGCTTAAGCATCACTGGAACAACTCAAACATATTTTTACACAGAAGTGACTGATCATATGAAAGTTTCTGATGGAGGTGGCGTTGAAAATGAAGGAGAAGACATTGACGTCGTGGAATACACTATTCCGCAAATAAGAGATATTGTTACACAATCCGATGTATTAAACGGATCAACTAGTCTTCTTTTTGGCCTAATGTGGTTTTTAACAAATAAAATAGTCCTTAACATGTGATAAAATATTATTTATATTAAAAATAATATATTTATATATAATATTAATATGCATAATTCTTTAGTTTTTTTTTTTTCACAACACATCTTATATTCTACATTTTGTTGTTTATTTTTGTAATCTAATAACTAAACGTTGTTCAATGTTTTAAAGTTTAAATCATGTATTTTAATTCAAATGAACTACTTGTTATATATTTTTAATTTTGTCATTTCTTAATATTAATGTTTTCTAATTTGCAGTACTCGATCAACGGAAGCCAAAAAAGAACTTACAATAATTTGGATAATAATTTTCCACTCTTCGAACGTCCTTACATAAAAGTGTTTTAGGTAGGAAGCTGAGAGGTGGTTAATACCTAATATATAATAGATACTATAAAAGGCATTTATTTTTTTTCTACATA